ACTGTCTTCCACAATGGTTGAACTAATTTACACTCCCACCAACAGTGTAAAAGTGTTCCTATTTCTCCACATCCTCTCCAGCATCTGTTGTCTCCAGATTTTTTAATGATCGCCATTCTAACTGGCGTGAGATGGTATCTCAATGTAGTTTTGATTTGCATTTCTCTGATGACCAGTGATGATGAGCATTTTTTCATATGTTTGTTGGCCTCATGTATGTCTTCTTTTGTAAAGTGTCTGTTCATATCCTTTGCCCACTTTTGAATGGGCTTGTTAGTTTTTTTCTTGTAAATCTGTTTTAGTTCTTTGTAAATTCTGGATATCAGCCCTTTGTCAGATGGGTAAACTGCAAAAATTTTTTCCCATTCTGTTGGTTGCCGATTCACTCTAATGACTGTTTCTTTTGCTGTGCAGAAGCTGTGGAGTTTGATTAGGTCCCATTTGTCTATTTTGGCTTTTGTTGTCAATGCTTTTGGTGTTTTGGTCATGAAGTCCTTGCCTACACCTATGTCCTGAATGGTTTTGCCTAGATTTTCTTCTAGGGTTTTTATGGTGTTAGGTCTTATGTTTAAGTCTTTAATCCATCTGGAGTTAATTTTAGTGTAAGGTGTCAGGAAGGGGTCCAGTTTCTGCTTTCTGCACATGGCTAGCCAGCTTTCCCAACACCATTTATTGAACAGGGAATCCTTTCCCCATTGCTTGTTTTTGTCTGGTTTGTCAAAGATCAGATGGTTGTAGATATGTTGTGTTGCCTCCGAGACCTCTGTTCTGTTCCATTGGTCTATATCTCTGTTTTGGTACCAGTACCATGCTGTTTTGATTACTGTAGCCTTGTAGTATAGTTTGAAGTCTGGTAGTGTGATGCCCCCCGCTTTGTTCTTTTTGCTTAGAATTGACTTGGCTATGCGGGCTCTCTTTTGGTTCCATATGAAGTTTAAGGTGGTTTTTTCCAGTTCTGCAAAGAAGGTCATTGGTAGCTTGATGGGGATAGCATTGAATCTGTAAATTACTTTGGGCAGTATGGCCATTTTCACGATATTGATTCTTCCTAACCATGAACATGGGATGTTTCTCCATCTGTTTGTGTCCTCTCTTATTTCGTTGAGCAGTGGCTTGTAGTTCTCCTTGAAGAGGTCCTTTACATTCCTTGTTAGTTGTATTCCTAGGTATTTTATTCTCTTTGTGGCAATTGTGAATGGAAGTTTGTTCTTGATTTGGCTCTCTTTAAGTCTGTTACTGGTGTATAGGAATGCATGTGATTTTTGCACATTGATTTTGTATCCTGAGACTTTGCTGAACTTGCTTATCAGTTTCAGGAGGTTTGGGGCTGAGACGATGGGGTCTTCTAGATATACAATCATGTCGTCTGCAAATAGAGACAATTTGACTTCCTCCTTTCCTATTTGAATGCCCTTTATTTCTTTTTCTTGCCTGATTGCTCTGGCTAGAACTTCTAATACTATATTGAATAGCAGTGGTGAGAGCGGGCATCCTTGTCTGGTGCCACATTTCAAGGGGAATGCTTCCAGTTTTTGCCCATTCAGTATGATATTGGCTGTTGGTTTGTCATAAATAGCTTTTATTATTTTGAGATACGTTCCATTGATACCTAGCTTACTGAGTGTTTTTAGCATAAAGGGCTGTTGAATTTTGTCAAAGGCCTTCTCTGCATCAATTGAGATAATCATGTGGTTTTTGTCTTTGGTTCTGTTTATGTGGTGAATTACGTTTATAGACTTGCGTATGTTGAACCAGCCTTGCATCCCCGGGATGAAGCCTACTTGATCATGGTGGATAAGCTTTTTGATGTGCTGTTGCAATTGGCTTGTCAATATTTTATTGAAGATTTTTGCATCTATGTTCATCATGGATATTGGCCTGAAGTTTTCTTTTCTTGTTGAGTCTCTGCCGGGTTTTGGAATCAGGATGATGTTGTTCTCATAAAATGATTTGGGAAGAATTCCCTCTTTTTGTATTGTTTGGAATAGTTTCAGAAGAAATGGTACCAGCTCCTCTTTGTATGTCTGGTAGAATTCAGCTGTGAACCCATCTGGACCTGGGCTTTTTTTGGGTGGTAAGCTCTTAATTGCTGCCTCAACTTCAGACCTTGTTATGGGTCTGTTCAGGGTTTCGGCTTGTTCCTGGTTTAGGCTTGGCAGGAGGCAAGTGTCCAGGAATTTATCCATTTCTTCCAGGTTTATTAGTTTGTGTGCATAGAGTTGTTTGTAATAATCTCTGATGATGGTTTGAATTTCTGTGGAATCTGTGGTGATATCCCCTTTATCGTTTTTTATTGCATCAATTTGGTTATTCTCTCTTTTCTTTTTTATTAATCTGGCTAGTGGTCTGTCTATTTTGTTGATCTTTTCAAAAAACCAGCTCCTGGATTTATTGATTTTTTGAAGGGTTTTTTGTGTCTCTATCTCCTTCAGTTCTGCTCTGATCTTAGCTATTTCTTGTCTTCTGCTAGACTTTGAGTTTTTTTGATCTTGCTCCTCTAGCTCTTTCAGTTTTGACGATAGGGTGTCAATTTTTGATCTCTCCTTGCTTCTCATGTGGGCACTTATTGCTATATATTTTCCTCTAGATACTGCTTTAAATGTGTCCCAGAGATTTTGGTATGTTGTGTCTTCATTCTCGTTGGTTTCGAAGAACATCTTTATTTCTGCCTTCATTTCATTGTTTATCCAGGCAACATTCAAGAGCAAGTTGTTCAGTTTCCATGAAGCTGTGCAGTTCTGAGTTAGTTTTTGAATTCTGAGTTCTAACTTGATTGCACTGTGGTCTGAGAGACTGTTTGTTACGATTTCCGTTCTTTTGCATTTGCTGAGGAGTGATTTACTCCCAATTATGTGGTCAATTTTAGAGTAGGTGTGATGTGGTGCTGAGAAGAATGTATATTCTGTGGATTTGGGGTGGAGAGTTCTGTAAATGTCTATTAGGTTTGCTTGGTCCAGGTCTGAGTTCAAGTCCTGGATATCCTTGTTAATTTTCTGTCTGGTTGATCTGTCTAATGTTGACAATGGGGTGTTAAAGTCTCCCACTATTATTGTGTGGGAGTCTAAGTCCCTTTGTAAGTCATTAAGAACTTGCCTTATGTATCTGGGTGCTCCTGTATTGGGTGCGTATATATTTAGGATCGTTAGCTCTTCTTGTTGCATTGATCCTTTTACCATTATGTAATGTCCCTCTTTGTCTCTTATGATCTTTGTTGCTTTAAAGTCTAATTTATCAGAGATGAGAATTGCAACTCCTGCTTTTTTTTGCTCTCCATTTGCTTTGTAAATCTTCCTCCATCCCTTTATTTTGAGCCTTTGTGTATCCTTGCATGTGAGATGGGTTTCCTGGATACAGCACACCGATGGGTTTTGTCTTTTTATCCAATTTGCCAGTCTGTGTCTTTTGATTGGGGCATTTAGTCCATTTACATTTAGGGTTAATATTGTTATGTGTGAATTTGATACTGCCATTTTGGTGCTAGCTGGCTGTTTTGCCCTTTAGTTGAGCTGGTACTTGTTGTTCCTTTATATGTGTAGAGCCTCTTTCAGGAGCTCTTGTAGAGCTGGCCTGGTGGTGACGAAATCTCTGAGTACTTGCATGTTCCCAAAGGATTTTATTTTTCCTTCACTTATGAAGCTTAGTTTGGCTGGATAGGAGATTCTGGGTTGAAAGTTCTTTTCTTTAAGGATGTTGAATATTGGCCCCCACTCTCTTCTGGCATGTAGGGTTTCTGCTGAGAGATCTGCTGTGAATCTGATGGGCTTCCCTTTGTGGGTAACCCGACCTTTCTCTCTGGCTGCCCTTAGTATTTTCTCCTTCATTTCGACCCTGGTGAATCTGACGATTATGTGCCTTGGGGTTGCTCTTCTTGACGAATATCTTTGTGGTGTTCTCTGTATTTCCTGGACTTGAATGTTTGCCTGCCTTGCTAGGTTGGGGAAGTTTTCCTGGATAATATCCTGCAGAGTATTTTCCAGCTTGGATTCATTCTCTCCGTCGCATTCGGGTACGCCTATCAAACGTAGATTAGGTCTTTTCACATAGTCCCACATTTCTTGGAGACTTTGTTCATTCTTTTTTACCCTTTTTTCTCCAGTCTTGCCTTCCCGTTTTATTTCATTGAGTTGATCTTCGACCTCTGATATCCTTTCTTCTGCTTGGTCAATTCGGCTGTTGATACTTGTGCATGCTTCACGAAGTTCTCGTGTTGCAGTTTTCAGCTCCATCAATTCACTTATATTCCTTTCTATTTTGTCCATTCTTGTTAGCATTTCGTCAAATCTTTTTTCAAGGTTCTTAGTTTCTTTGCATTTGGTTAGAACATGTTCTTTAAGTTCAGAGAAGTTTCTTACTACCCATCTTCTGAATTCTGATTCTGTCATTTCATCACACTCATTCTCCAACCAACCTTGTTCCCTTGCTGGCGAGGAGTTGTGATCACTTTTAGGAGGAGAGGTGTTCTGGTTTCGGGTGTTTTCATCCTTTTTGCGCCGGTTTCTTCCCATCCTTAAGGATTTATCCACCTGTCGACTTTGTAGTTTCTGGCTTTCAGATTGGGTCTCAAATCTTTCAGATTGACGTTCTGTTTGTTGATGATGAGGTTATTTCTGCTTCTTGGTTTTCCTTCTGACAGTCTGGCCCCTCTGCTGTAGGTCTGCTGAGGTTCACTCCAGGCCCTGCTTGCCTGGGGTTCACCTGCAGCAGCTGTTGAACAGCAAGGGTTGTTACCAGTTTTCTTCTTCTTCTATCTTTGTCCCAGAAGGATACCCGCCTAGTGTCAATCTGATCTCTCCTCTATGAGGTGTCTTTTTGGATATATAGGGGTCAGGGAGCTGCTTGAGGAGACGGTCTTTTCTTTATAGGAGCTCAAATGGTGAGCTGTGAGCTCTGTTGTTGTTCATTCAGAGCTGCTGGGCAGGTACTTTTAGGTCTGCTGCAGCAGAACTCATAAACTGCTTTTTTTTCCCAGGTGCTCTGTCCCAGGGATTTAGGGCTTTATTTATGAGTTTTCGTTATGCTGCTGCCTTCTTTTTTTTTTTTTTTTTTCTTTTTTTCCTTCAGACCTGCCCAGCCCAGCAAGGAGGCAGCCTAGTCACTGTCGGCCTATAGCAGCTTTGCTGAGCTGCTGTGGGCTGCGCCCCGCTGCCGAGTGAACTTCCCTGCAGTCCTGTTTATATGGGTGTAGTTAGAACTGCTTTGGCGATGGTGGCCCACCTCTGTTGGGGCGGAGTCTCTGCTGTGGCGTGTTGCCTTGGCAACGGCGGGCTGCCTCAGCAATGGCGGGTTGCCTTGGCAACGGCGGGCTGCCTCGGTAATGGCGGACGCCCCTCCCCCACAGAGCTGGACTGTCCCGGGTTCAGCTGCGCTTGCTGTGAAATTCTCAATCCAGAGTTTCTGGTTGCTGTTCTTTTGTGGGGGTGGGGCCAGCCGAGCCTGATCGCCTAGCTCCCTGCCTCAGAGCCTTTTTTAAGTTGGTGTTCCAGTCGCCTGTTGAAGAGGCGCCGGGGTCTGTTTGTTTTCCCCTGCGGCCACTCACTGCGCTGGCTTGAACAGAGGCACTGAGGTTTGTGGTGCTTTTTTTTCTTTTTTTTTTTGCCCTGGAATCTACTGTCCTGGTTCTCTGCTCAGTCCCCTTTTTGAACCAGCATATGGGCGACTTCCCGTGGCTCCAATCGCCAGCCAAAAGGGCACCCGGACCGGTGTATTTTGTACGGAGAACCGCGGCTCCGGGGCGCCGACAAAGCAGCCGCGCGGGGCAGAGCAGCGGCGCTGGCCGGCACAGCAGCGCTGGCCACAACAGCCGCGCTGGCGAGCGTGGAGCACCTCTGCCCGGGAATTTCCTAGTCTGTGGGCAATAAAAACGCGGCGTCCACTCACCCTCTGCGCTTTCACTGGGAGCTGCAATCCTGAGCTGTTCCTAAACGGCCATCTTGGATCCGGTCGTTGGGTCTTATTAACCATTATAGCCCCATCTCTTGAATAATGCCTAGCCTAAAATATATTCTGAATTTATATTTTGAATAATTGAAAAGATTCCCTTACTGTAAGAGTCATGCAGAACTTCCACTTGAGAAGTTCTCTGAGTGGTGATTTCACCTTATTCATGTGGTAAGCTTTGGATATTGATTTAATGAAATGTTAAGAGTCTAAAAGCTCTCAGATCAACCAAGAACCTATAACTCTTCTTTTTTTTTTTTTTTTTAATTTCATCAATGTGTAACTTATTTGTATACATCAATTGCCCCAAATCAAGCTGAGGTTTAGCTTTAAATACAAACTGGTGGTATATTATTAAAACATAAATCATGTTATATTCCAAAAACATTTGTGCCAAGTATATGACTGCTAAATTTAGAACAGTGGACAGTAAGAGGAGCTTTGACTCACATGGCTCTTGAAACTTCATGGGGGTCTTTCACGTTCATTGTCCCATAAACTCTCACAATGGTCCCTTCTAAGTGGGGATTGTATTTTCCCCAACTTACAGAGAAGAAGGAAATTATGATTGCTTTGTAGTTTTCCCAAGCTTGTCCAGTAAATAAGTGGTTACCAGAGTTGACAGCCCTAAACGTTTTTAACTTGGATCTTTCATCTGAAATCCAGACTTGTATATTCAACTACCTACATAGATGTCTAAGGAATCTCAAACTTGCCAACAAACTTGACATGTTTGTTACGGTTTGAATCGTGTCCCCCAGAAAGTTACATGGAAGTCCAAACTCAGGGGACCTGGGAGTGACCTTATTTGGAAATGGAATCTTTGCAGATGCAGTTAAAATGCAGTCATTAGGGTGGGCCCTAATTCAATCTGGTGTCTATCTAAGAGGAGGCAGAGACATGCAGAGGGAATGCCAGGTGACTATTGAGGCAGAGATCGGAGTGACACAGCTGCAAGCCAAGAAACGCCAAGGATTGCAGGCCACCCCCAGAAGCTCAGAGGCGAGAAAGGGTTCTGTAAGAATCGCAGAGGGAGCAAGATCCTGTTGACACCTTGATTTTAGACTTCTACCCTCCAGAACTGTGAGAAAATACATAAGGTACTAGATTGTGGTGCTCTGTTAAGGCAGCCCTAAAAAACAAATGCAATGTTCAAAACTTAACTCCTGACTCCCCTCCAAAACACGTTGTTCTCTATGTGCAAAGTGACCCTCAAATGCAGAAGGAGCTAAGAAATCAAAGAGCAAGGCAGGCAAATGTCAGTGGAGGGTGTTTTACTGGGGATGTTATAAACAGAGGTGTACTCTTGTACAGCAGTAAGACAGGTAGACCTCCACATCATGACACCCCCAAACCTAGGGCTTGTATGCTATAGAGAAAAGGTGTACATGCTCAACAGACAATTAAAGACAAACTTCCAGGACAGGCAAGAATGCCATGTGCATCATAGCCTACAGTTTGTGTAATAACATCGTTTGTTTTGATCTAGAAAAGAATTTATGGAGAATACTAAGGACAGTAAATAAAGTAGGAATCAGGAGGCATTTCCAGAACTGGGGCAGCTCAAATGCCAACAAGGTGGATTAGTATCCAAGATGGGGTCACCTTTGCCACCACACACCTCCTGCCACAGTTTCTTGTAAAGCAGTAAATGGTAACTTCATCCTTGGTCTTAATCTTGTTTTCTCTCTTCTGCCCATACTCCATACTCAATCTGTCAGTGCATTCAATTAGCTTTGCCTTCACAGCATGTCTACACTCTAAGCACTTCTCACCACCTCCACTGCTGACACTGAGGCCTCACCTATCACCGTCTCTCACCGGGTCTATTTCAGTAGCCTCTTCACACGTGTCACTATTCCTCCTTTTGTTCTCCTACCATCTATTCTCAACCCAGCAGCCAGCATTGTCCTCCTAAAACATGTTAGATTAGCCAGGCGCAGTGGCTCATGTCTGTAACCCCAGCACTTTGGGAGGCCGAGGCAGGTGGATCACAAGATCAGGAGTTCAAGACCAGCCTGGCCAGTATGGTGAAACCCTGTCTCTACTAAAAATACAAACAAAACAAAACAAAAACGAGTGTGGTGGCACACGCCTATAGTCCCAGCTACTTGGGAGGCTGAGGCAGAAGAATCGTTTGAACCCAGGAGGCAGAGGTGGCAATGAGCTGAAATCATGCCACTACACTACAGCCTGAGAGACAGAGCAAGACTCCGTCTCAAAAAAACAAAAAACCAATACACATTAGACCATACCAGGCCTCCGCTCAAAAGTCTGAAGTGGCTTCCCACATACCCCAGAAATATGTAGGGTCCTTTCATTAGATGTCAAGGCTTTATGTGAGCTGCATCAAGCAGCACAGCTTCCTGTCCCATCTCACGCCACTCCTACTCCTACTCATTTTCTGGATACACTGCCTTCTTTGCTGAACTTGATCACATCACCATGCTCTCGTCAGTTCTAAAAGGTTCTTTCTTCTCCTAGACACCTACATGATTCCTTCCCTCAACTTTAGAATTCTGCTAATTGCCTCCAAGTTAGGCTTTCCTTTTCTAGATTATTTAAAATGGCAACTCCCCCTTTCCTGGAACATCCACATTGCTTTTGTCCTTAGCATTCATGAGTGATACTTTATGTACGTACCTTGCATTTATGTATTGCCTCTCTTCTTGCACCAAAATGGAAGCGCTATGAGGACAGGAACATAATTTTCTTTACTGTCTGTCTCTGGAGCATATAGAATACATGGGAGTTCAATAAATATTTGCTGAATTAAGTGGATAAATGAAAGATCTCTTAAATAACGGTCTCTTTTTCTATTATACACAAACGAGAATAATATATAGTGCAAAACAAATGACTGATATGTTTGGATGTGTGTCGCCTCCAAATCACATATTGAAATGTGATCCCCAGTGTTAGAGGTGGGGCCTAGTGGGAGGTGTTTAGGTCATGGGCGTGGATTCCTTATGAATGGCTTGGTGCCATCCCCTTGGTGGTGAGTGCGTTCTCACTCTGTTAGTCACTATTACAGTTCATTGTTTAAAAAGATTGGCACCTTCTCCTCTATCTCTTATTATGTGATGCACCTGCTCCCTATTTGCCTTCCACCATGATTGTAAGCTTCCTGAGGCCCTCACCAGAAGTAGATGCTGGCACCATGCTTCTTGTACAGTCTGCAAAACCATGAGTCAAATAAACCTCTTTTCTTTATTTATTAATCAGATATTTCGTTAGAGCAATACAAAAGCACTCAGTTTTTTAAAA